ACTGCAGCTGAGCAGACCAGAGGAAGTAAGTCAGTAAGCAGTATCCCTCATGGTCTCGGCTTGGGTCCTGCCTCCAGGTTCCTGTCTTGAGTTCCTGCTTTGGCTTCCCTCATTGATGGACTGTGATCTGGAAGCCCAATAAGATGCTCTCCAAGTAAAAATAGCTAACAGAAGCCAGGTGGTGGTGGCACACGCCTTTAATCCCAGCACTCGGGAGGCAGAGCCAGGCAGGTCTCTGTAAGTTTGAGGCCAGCCTGGACTACAGAGTGAGTTACAGGAAAGGCGCAAAGCTACACAGAGAAACCCTGTCTCGAAAAACCAATATATATATATATATATATATATATATATATATATATATATATATATATATATATCAGAAAAAACTGGACTCCAATAGCTATGATTATTTGTATCATTTCTGAAAGAGATAATTGAGATTGTACATACATGAAAGAACTTTGAGAAGGCAAAATCTACTAATGCTAAATGGTGGCCAGATATTATTTTGCATGAGGGGCAAACCATGAAACAAATACCATAGTAAAACTGGGCACAGATGGGAACATGTGAATTAAGAAAACACAGACTTCCAGGGTATTTTGGATCTACAATTTGCTGAGAATATATATACATATATGTGTGTGTATTCACATATTTATATATATCCAACAATTTTTTTTTAGTTTCTGCTAAACAACAAGCGTTTAAGTTAAAGACAGAGCTGTAGACAGGTGAGGCACACTTCCAGGGAATGTATGTACTGGTACTGGGGAAGACTTTAGAAACAAACATGAAATAAAGTGGTGGCAGTGACTTAAAAAACATGACGAGGTAGACGATCCATGGCTATTTTATATTAGAAAGTCCAGAGGAGCCTTATCAATTAGGGGACATTTCAGCTGAGATCTGACTGCAAGAAAGAATCAGTCAAAGCAACTTCTGCAGAGCATGCATTTCGGAATGAGTAAGAGCAAGATTTCTTGGTGAAGCATGAAAGTGAGACCAGGGAAATGGGGCTAGGAGAGGGCCAGCCCAGGAGAACTCTGTCCTTGACTCTAAGCACCACAGGAAACCATTGGGGATTCTGAGCTGAGGAAGTAAACAGCCTTTGTTATAAAAACACTTTGGCTGCAGTATTAAGAGATTCTTAGCACAAAACTGTCTTCATCAGGTTGGTCTGCTGAACGTCTGTGAGGGACTGTCTTGATTCTTTATCATTGCAGGAGAGCCCAGACCATGTGGGTGGCACTGTCATTAGGGAAGTGGTCCTGGGCTGTATAAGAAAACTAGTTAAACCTGAGCCTGTGAGTGAGCAAGCCAGTGAGCTCCATGGATTGTACTTCAAGCTGCAACTTGAGTTTCTGCTTTGACTCTCCTCAATAACAGATTGTGACCCGGAAGTGCAGCCAAAGCAATCCTTTCCTCCCTTTGTTGGAAATTTCCCTAGGAAGAGGGAATCTCAATTGGGGAATAGCTTCCATCAGATTGTCCTATGGGGTTGTCAATAGGACATTTTTTTTTTTTAAATGACTAATGGGGAAACATCTTACTATGGGTGTGCCACCCTGGGCAGGTGGTCCTGGTTTGAATAGGAAAGGAAGCTGAGCAAGCCATGGAAAGTTAGCTAACAAATGGTATTCCTCCATAGTTCATGCCCCAGCTCTAGTTTGAGTTTGCATCCTGACTTCCCTCAATGACAGTCTGTGATCCAGCAATGTAAACCAAATAAGACCCTTCTTCCTCAAGCTGTGTTTTTGTCACAGCCACAGAAAACAAACTAGGACAGATGCCTATCTGTAACTAACTGTACCTCACTTGGAAGTACTTGACTTTGTTGTATGTGCCTTAAATCTCTCAGCTCATTTAATCCTTGACACACTGGTAATATTATTAGTACTTTGCAAACTTCTATCCATCTATCTATCTATCTCCTATCTATCCCCTATTTAACTATCCACCTGTCTTATGTTTGACTAGATATAAGCCAACTAATGGAAGACAATGCTAGCATTTCAACCTAGTAATCTTGTCTTCAGAATCTGTCCACTTATCTATCTGTATTAATCAGTTTTGTGTTAATATAATGAAATGAGATAGGCTAATTTCATTTAAAAAAGGAGAAATTATTCTATAATAAGGGGTTGTCTCTTTTCCTCCACTTATTTGCACTCATTTTTCTTTCTTCCTCATTTATTTTTTTCAGTGCTGAGGACCTTGAGTCCCATCCACCACTATTATTTAGCATCAGTCCACATTATTGCTCGTTCTTATTCTATCTTCAACTGTAACCCCATGCTACTCTGAATATTTGATTGATAAATAGTTCCAGTGACAGCCTCTAGGAGCCCTTTCATATGGTTTCTGTGTCTCTTTCACAGACTCCTATCAATACACATTTAAAGATTTTATTTGTTTGGGACCAGGTAGATGCTCAGCAGATAAGGAGCTTTTTGAGCAAGCCTGATAACCTGAGTTCCATTACTGGAATCCACAGTGGAAAGGTAGAATTGACTCTTAAAAGTTGTCCTCGGAGTGCAATACACATCACACACACACACACACACACACACACACACACACACACCCCACACAATAATAGAGAAAATATAATAAACTTTGGTTTGGGTTTTGTTTGTTTGACTGGTGCTTCTTACCTTTCACCACTGCGGATGCTTCAGACTCCCTTTGCTGATATCCTATAACCAGTCTTTCTTCTGAGGCTCCCAAGTGTCAATTTCTTAGGAACAAATTTGCAGAATGTTTAGCAGCATCTCTAGCCTCTGTCCAATAGATGCTAATAGCGTCTTTCCTCATGTGGTTCTGAAAATGAGTATCTCCAGACCACGCTATCTTCTTCTACGGTGAGGTGGAATGGTTGTAAGTTATGAACCCCTGCTAGTGAAATGGAGTGGCTGAAAGTCGCAGTGAGAGAGTGTAATGAAAAGCGATGGGGTTGTAGCAGAAGCCTCTAAATGTGTGTGCAGACACTGGGGAAGGGTTCCCAGAGCTCTGCCAGAGGAGATGCCGTTTGAACTGAGAATCATTTGTGATTCTCAGTGTGACCGATCAGTTATAATGATCAGATAAAAGGCTTACTTTCATTATTCTCACATAAGTCTTTTATTTATTTATTTATTTATTTATTTATTTATTTATTTATTTATTTATTTGTGTGTGGTGTGTGCATGTGTGTGAGCATGTGTACATGCAGGTGCTCTCTCCTGTGTGATCATGTATAGGCACCAGAGGTTTGCATCAGCTGTCTTCCTCTGTTCCTCTTCACCTCACTTTTTGAGACAGGATCTCTGAACCTGGAGCTCTCTGTTTCAGATAAACTAGGTGGCCAGACAGCCCTTGGAATCCCTCTGTCTCCATCCCTGCTACACTCTGCTTTTACAGGTTCTCATTCTTGTGCAGAAAGTTGTTGGTTTTTTTTTACCCACTGAGTCATTCCCCCAGCCTCAGTTCCGCATTTTAATAGCAGGAATTACTATTATTTTTACAGCTGAAGAAATTAAGGGTCATAGGCACAAAGTAACTTGCTAAAGATATGTGATCTGGTCTTGAAGGATCCAATCAGACAAATAATTGGGGAACTCGTCTTCAGGGCACTAACATCTGCCTGTGATACTTGTCAGGACTGTTTCCACCCTTCTACTTAGAAGTTCACACCACCTGTTGTGATTTTTCCTAGGGAGACAGGAACAATGTTCATTCACCCTGTCTAAGGCATCCACAATGGACTGCAGAAATGATTCTTGCCCATCTAACTCAATGAACCAGAGGTCACCAGGATTACTTAGGGAAGTATGGATGACTCAAAGGTAGCTACACTGCCCCAAAGTCTAGGACAGTGTGGGTGACTACTCTCAACATTTGCTTCCTTGAAGCTCCTGCACAATTTGTAGTGAGTCTCCCCACCGAGAGTCTCCTTTCCCTAGGGTATTTACTGTTACAGTTGTGAGAAGGGCTTCATGGTTTCTTGCAACTTCACGAGCTTCCGGTGACTTTTAGTTTCTCCTCTTGAGCCTTCTTCCAGAACTGAGTGTTTTAACTCAGAGGAAACAGCTGCACAGCACATTTCATCTTAAGCTTATTTTTCACGGAATTCTAGGCTCTTGAGATCAGGAACCACGCAGTGTTCGTCTTAAGTCTTCTTAGCCCAATACTGGCAATGTGATGGTTACTGGATAAATGTTTCATGGGAGAGTTAACATGTCCACATCACCAGTCCGCCTCTCACATCACTCCCTTAGCGCATACTACTTTCTGGGTAAACACTGTTCTCTTGCTGGTAGAGTACTCGTTTCTGGGCTCACTAGTGAGCACCCTGTGATCGTTCTGTTCCTATGCCTCATTGTTTTTTTTCTTAACACTCCAAATGTGTTCAGAACCAGGACGTTTTCAAACAGATTATGGTGGGATGCACTGTACCTTGGGTCAGAGATGCAAAAAAGGACTTCTTTGAGGAAGAAAAACCATGCTATATCTGATAGTAAAGTATCAGAATGTGTTACTATTTGTTTCCACACATAGTGCCAGTTACCCAATTTGGACAACATTCTTCCCTAGACTCCTGTATAATTTTAAGGGGGTACATTTTATGAAAACCAGCCCAGGACAGCTTTTCTTTTCTTTCTCTTTCCCTCTCTTTTCTTTCTTGTAATTCTTTCCATGACTAATCCTAATTTCCATTTATTTTTTATGTGGTGTTGGTGTCATCTTCATTTTCATTCATAAGCATATTAACAGGGGGAGCATTCTGTATTTTGTTCCATTTATTTTTCCTACAACTTCTGGATCAGCTATTTGCAGGTGTAATGAAATTTTAAGTCTATTGAATTAGAAGTTAGTCTGTTTTCAAGACTCACTTTCTTTCCTTTGCTAAAATTCTGGTCTAATTTAAAAAACAGTAGATCATAGTTAAATAAAACTGTACCCAGGATAACCCTAATTTCCATATGCAGATTTATCTGCACTGACAGCCACCCCCTTCTCTCTCTCTCCCTCTCTCTCTTTCTCCTTTCCCTCCTCTCCATCTCCCTATTGCATTGTATCTGACTGATTTTCAGAGCACCTTCGCTGTTTCTCCCTCTCATTCCCTTTCTGTGAAATATCTAGACAGGAAGGAGGTGGCTGCAGAGGCTGAACAAACAATCTCATATTCTGCCTGCAATGTCATCGTTCTTCCCCCCATTTCAGGGGGGTGAAGTTACCCAGGAAGGGATGCAGAGGAGCTGAAAAGGAAGGGGGGGTTCTCCAGAGGCTGCTGCGGTCAGGGGCAGGGACTGCCACCAGATGTGCCTGCTTTCCTGGGTTTTGATTCGAAAGGGACAGCAGGAGGAAATATTGAGAGACAAAAGCCTCGGTTGAAATGATCATTTTCTTTATTTAATATGGCAGCAGACACTCTCTGCGTAGGATCATCGTACCGAGCATAAACTGGACTTTCCTACTTGCCTCACAGGAGTCAGACAGATCCCTGTTTGCTAAATGATCATCCAAGGTAAGACCCCCTGCTTCAGATACTTGGTTATTTTCCTAAGTCAATTATATTTCTTAAATATATATATGTCATCTTCAGCCACAAACAGTGTGGTGGGGACAAATCAGTGTTAATCTGCATCTAAAGAGTTAAGAAAAAGCAGAGGTTTAATAGATTCAACTCAATTCTTAGAGGCTGATTACTTTGTCAATGATGTATATGCTGTTTGTTTTTAGGGAAAATGTTTGCTTTAAGAACACGCTAATGCCATCACCATCCACCACTGGTGACAATAGTGCTGTTTAGACTCCTAAAAAAACTTTGCAAAAAGACAGTGAGCTACAGATGCATGTGTTACATTTTCAGCTCATCTACAAATATTAGACCTCTTATTAAAATGATAGGATTTTTTTTTTTTAGCAGAGAAGGAATGAATGCAGCATAATTAAGTACAGTATTTAATTTGGCTGTTGTGAAGCAAAAGAATAAGGTAATAATTTTTATTGTACTAATCAGTCTCAAGATGTTCTCTGTGTTAATTGGGTTAAAAAAATTGCAGTACTTATTAGAAATTCTAATTTCACAATGCAGTGCTGACAATAAGCGCAGCCAGTGAATTATTCACATCTTTAATTTGCTCACTTAATGACAGTGTTCTGTAATCAGAGTGCAGGGACTGCTGCCTATGCATTATGTATGATGCTCAGGACTTAAATGCAGGACATTATGAAGCTCTCAGTGGTTCAGTAATTAGTTTTCCACAAGACAGGATTTAGATATTCACAGATAAAAGTCCACAGTTGGATAATGCCAAGGTTGCACAACACAAAATAGCAAAGGGAAGGAAGCTCAAAGTTTAGATGAAAACTTCGTCTCTAGAGCTTGTCCACCGAGGAGACAGAATCACGTTACCTTCAATAGTTGCCTGGCTCCGATCACATGTTTGAAAACTGTGCTTGAACAAAGTTGTAGCAGGAAAGACATTTGCACGATTTCAGTGGACCAGAGGGGAAAGATAAAACCTTTTTAATTAGTGTTCACAGAAGCTGCGCAATATATCGTCCTAACAAGTCTGTGGAATGCTTAGCCGGCACTCTCAGTGTGCTTTGTAATTTAGTTAGTGCAAATGCAAATCAGGTTACAATGGTGTTTGGCTCGGACTGTGTTTATAAAAGGGTTACATGCCCAAATGGAGATGGAGCTTGCTGATGGTTTTGTTCCAGTGGCATCTGAAGGCAGGCTTGAGACTCAAATGAGATATGAAGTGAACCTGGGCATGAAAGGAAAAGTAGATTGGAATTGTCAGGGCAACTTAAACGTTTCTTAGACTTGTCAGTTGGAGTTCATTTTTTGAATGTTCTGTCATAAATTTTATGCTTGAATGAACTATTCAGAAACATTATCAATACTTAAAAGATGTATACAAACTTCAGGAAAACATTTCACATTTTAAAAGTTTAGCAACCAGCTAGGCATTTTTTAAATGGAACTGTTTTACGAGCCCATTGTTCGTTAAACTAGTATATTTTTGAAGACTGATGTTTAATGTTTACTAATGCAGCATCATTGCCTTATCATTTATCTGTCTAATTTGCATTCATTTCTCAAACCCATGTATTAGAAATCTTAGTAAAAATGGGCATCTGGAAATTAAAATGCACAGCACTTTTTAAAAGTGCCATTTATAGCTTAGAAGATTTTAAAAAAGATAGTTGAATTGCAAAACAGTATAAGCCAGCATAGGGTTTAAAAGAATGAGATGACAAATGAAAATATTATGATTTCCTCTACATTTGAAAATTACTTAAATAAAAAGTAGGTAGACACAGTGACTCATTCTGTGGTCCCAGCTGCTGGGGGTGGATTTGGTGAGGGGCTAAGCCTGGAGGATTACTTGATCCTGGACTGTTAGGTCTTGTTGAAAAGACCAACATGAGGAAATCTTGCTTTTAAGAGTCATGTCTTCAAAACCTTTCTAACTTGTCATTGTATGTAACTTCTGAAAGTGATTTCAACAGAGTAAAAGAAAATGTTTTTTCTTAGTGTGTATGATGTATTTTACTTCTTTATAATACTTAGAACATTTTTGGTGGGGTAATGTTTATTGGGGAATTCTGTCACAATAATTCTTGGATCTTTAACACAGAGATGTGATGGATGAAAGGAGCTTAAAGCATACAGATTGTTAGCCTATTTAGTGTGGTGAAATTGAATTGAGTGACCACAAGCTGCTCACAGTTAGATTTCTTTCACCTAGCCCAGGAAGTCCAGGAACCAGGCTTCAGTGCATCTCAGATTTCACTGTGGACTTTTGGTTATTTGGAGATCTGGTTAAAATCCTGAACCTGATTCAGTAGATCTGAGTTGAGGCCCAGCACAGTTTCCTGATGATGTAATGTGGCTGAATGTGGAAACCTTCATTTGGCGAGGTCTCAAATGCATCTTATTTCCAGTATATCTGGAAGGTAGGCCTGGTGCAATGAACCATCAGTGAACCCTAGTCTCCCTCCAGTTCTGATGTGTTCTAGTTCAGGTAGAGGAGCTTCCATTTTGGATTGCCAGCTTCAACTCTCTGCTGTCCCAGAGAGTCCCAACCTGTACAGTTGTAGCCCTAGCTGCCTGCTGAGTTCTGGCTTAGAGCTTCTCTTATCACTTTGATTCCACAACTCCATTCACCAGAAGTGGCCTAGTCTACCTCTGTGGTGACACCAGCCCATCACTCTTCATCTACTTGTCTGCATCAGAATCAGCTGAGACGCTAAGTGCCCCCACCTCAAACATTCCACTCTACAGTGGATATTGGGACTACCTGCTTTTTTTCTTTAACAAAAGGTTCAAAACTGATTCTGATGGACAGGCAGCACTTGTAAACAACTTCTGTAGGAGTTGCTGCTGTGCTTTGATTTCATAAGAACTCTTTGGAAAGTGACACTGTCATGGCTTAGGTTCAACTTTTCTATACACTACGAACATTTTCTCTACTTGATATTATCAATGGGAACATAACATAAGAAGAACACAGATCTTTGTTGAGCTAGCTTCAGGAAGTCTGTGTTGAGTGATTGACATTAGAATTAAGTAATGAGTACATACCAGGTTTGTCTTTATTGGTCTGAGTTACCTCACTCAGGATGATTTTTTCTAGTTCTATCCATTTGCCTTCAAATTTCCTGATGTCATTGATTTTAACAGCTGAATATTTCTCCATCATGCAAATGTACGACATTTTCTTTATCCATTCTTCAGTTGAGGGGCATTTAGCTTGTTTCTAGTTTCTGTCATTAAGAATGAAACTGTTATAAACATAGTTGAGTAAGTGTCCTTATACATCCTTTGGATATATGCCCAGGAATGGTATAGCTGAGTCTTAAGGAAGATTGATTCTCAATTTTCTGAGAAACCACCCGTCTGCTGCAGCTAGCCTCTCGAGCCAAGAGAGACCTACTTCCTGAGTGTTTGTCTTTATATAGACTTTCTATTCTGCCTTCTCATTGGTTGTAAACCCAACCACATGACCACCTCGTCACTGCCTGTTTGTATAGACCTCCAGATCCTCTATGGTTGGTATTGAGATTAAAGGCATGTGTCTCCAATGCTGGCTGTATCCTTGACCACACAGAGATCTACCTAGCTCTGCCTACCAAGTGCTGGGATTAAAGGCGTGCGCCATGAATGCCCAGCTCTGCTATGGCTTGCTATTAACTCTGATCCCCAGGCAACTTTATTTATTAACATACAAATAAAATCATATTTCAGTAGAAATAAAATATCACCATATTTCCCCTTTTCTATTTTAATAAAAAGGAAAAAGGTTATAACTAACATAAGAAAAACTATATAGAAAAGTACAATAACTATATACAATATATACAAGTAATAAATATTTAAACAATGTCTAGCCAATTTGTATTTGACAAATTCAGAGAAAATAATTCCATTATCTATCCTATTTTGGTAAGTTCAAAATGTACCTAATTCATTTTCTATCCTAACTAGTCTTCAACTATAACTAACTAATCTTCAACTCCCTCAGAGACCCAAGAAGGAAATAATATTACATAAAAAATTAAAAACAGAAAGTGCATGCAAGCAACTTCCAAAAAATTTGTGAGTTGACAGAAACAGCCAGCTGTCTGGACAGTCACCTAGGTTTCTCTGCAGTGTTGGGGCATCATCTTCAGCCTATAGGCTTAGCGTATCTGACAGACTCATTTGTGAAGTAGGATGTACACAAGGTCAACAGTTCAACTTCACATTGGGTGAGAGCAGTCCATGTACCAGAAACACCTGAATTCCACTAGTGTCATGTCATGATTCAGGATTTTAAATTCTGGAAATTGTTGATGGTTTTTTAATTCAGCTGTCCATTCTTCTTGGCTGTGTATATATGGCTTCATCTCAGCATCCTGTTCTTCTCCACATCCCTCTATTAAATGCCAGTCTACTATTGAGAGGTGTGAGCTTAGTTACTCTTCAAGAATAACTGTTTCAGCTGCTGTTCCATTGCACATCAGAGGCCATCGGCCCACTGCCTGTTCAGCTGCCTTCGGAGAAAAGGGCACTGTACCTTTTCCAAATTGCAAAGGCTACTTCAGGGATGGTACCATATTGTCCTGGCCTCAGAAGATGCCTTTTGATAAAGCCATAATCACACTTGTTTTGGCAAGAATCAGTAGTCCTTTGTTTCATGTCCTGTCTGTCCTGTTTGTCAGCAGTTGATTCGAGGATACTTTGTTGTCCAGTGGCTAAATTTTGCCACAATGAAAGTTAACTCCAATTGCAGTTTTTTCAATGCCCATATTTTCTCTGAAGTAGATTGGTACTGCCAGGAGCCGACATGTCTCATAGTCATAACAAAAAAGAAAAATTTTCTAAGTTATTAAAACATTCTAGCCGGGCGGTGGTGGCGCACGCCTTTAATCCCAGCACTCGGGAGGCAGAGCCAGGCGGATCTCTGTGAGTTAGAGGCCAGCCTGGGCTACCAAGTGAGTTCCAGGACAGGCGCAAAGCTACACAGAGAA